GGGAGGGTGTCTACCCAGCCCCTCTGGGCAGCCTGTTCCAGTGCTCTGTCGCCCTTACAGTAAAGAAGTTATTCCTTAAGTTTGTGTGGAGCTTCTGGTGTTCCAGTTTTTGCCCACTGCCCCTTGTCCTGTCACCAGCCACCACCAGAAAGAGCTTGGTCCCATCCATTTGGCCACCAATACGTCTTCCTTGGCTAGAAGACACAGTATATATGCAGTCTAATTTTTATGACACCACATTGGCATAACTAAATTCTGTGCATTCATAACTTTGTCTTTTGTTGCAGGTGCTAAAAAGTGGCGATCCCTTTCAAAACAGGTGGGCAATAATTCCTATGCTGTTTTATAACCATAGATTTTGATACAGTTACCTTCTTCCATAATGTAAACTTAGAGTCAGAGGAGAAATAAGGGAGTTTTTTAATCTTTATTTAAAAAAACCTTAAGTTTTGTCACTTCAGACTCAGCTGAATCCAGAATCTCAAAGATACTTGAGCAGCTGTCCCTGTTACGTTGGATTTACTGGCTTTCTCAAGCCTCTGTCAGTTCCTTCCTCAGCCCATATCTGAGTTTCTCTAGTGTCTAAGTGTAACAGGTGTATCCAGCGCTGCCAGAAATACTTATGCCACTCTCTACCTTTTGTAATGTTTAAGTACCTCTTTTTTTTAACATTTGTACAACTGCAAAAAACTATTTCACTGTATTTTAAGTAAAGTACATTCATATTAATAGGTTAAGTTTGCTTTAGTTCAGTTTGAGTGTTTTAAAAGAACAATTGCTTGGAGCTTGTATGAAAACCTTACTGAAATCCAGGGGGACTTATCCTTGGCTTCAATGAATATGAGCAGTAGTAAGTAATTTCAGCAACAAATATGTTACATGTCTCTCTCCAACTCTGCATACACATAGTATTCATACAGATGAGCAATTCTTGGAATAATTGTGTGTGCAAAATTTATGTATGTGCTTGAATACTTCCAAAGTCATTGTGGTAAGTTAAATTAACTGCTAGATTTGCATGCAGTTCCTTGTGTTTTATATTGATTTCCTAGCATTTACTCACAATCTGTTAATTACTTCATTAAATATTTAAATACATACTTTTATCTTTTTTAAATCTCATTTTTTAGGAACTGAATCAGATCCTTATGGAGACACCACCAGTTTGGAAAGGATCATCCAAACTTTTCCGTAATCTTAATGAGAAAGGTGAGGGATAAGAATTTATTTTCCTGAACCAAATTATCACTTGTGTTAATTTAATGTGGCTAAAGGTATGTACTTTAATATGAGTCACGTCTTCAAAAAGATAAGACAAGTTTGTTGCTTTCTACATTTTACAGCATGGAGAAGTTCCCTTTAGTCTCTGCAGTGGTTATTTTTAAAGACAGTAACAGTTTCTTTATATCACTGAATAAGCATTTTCTTCACAACGCGAAGAGACAGTTTCAGAAGTATATCCCTTTAAGATGAGGGCTTTGATAGCTTTTAAAACTCAAACTATTGGTAAAGGAAGAGGCAAGAGCCACTCCTGGTCTCCTCTTTTTTTTTCTTTCTTAATAAGCTCTATCACTTCAAAAACAAACAAATAAAAACCACAGGAAAAACCCCTGTGATGGCTTGTATACAAATGTTTAAGAGCTATTTAAGACATAAGAGCTCCAGTTCTGGAGCCCCCAATACAAGAGAGACATGGACCTGTTAGAACAAGTCCAGAAAAGTGCCACAAGAATGATCAGAGGGCTGGAGCACCTCTCCTTTGAGGACAGGCTGAGAGAGTTGGGGCTGTTCAGCCTGGAAAAGAGAAGGCTCCAGGGAGATCTTATAGCGGCCTTCCAGTACCTGAAGGGGCCTACAAGAAAGCTGGGGAGGGACTTTTCATAAGGGCAGTTAATGACAAAACAAGGGGAAGTGGCTTTAAACTGAAAGAGGGTAGGTTTAGATTAGATATTAGGAAGAAATTCTTCACTGTGAGGGTGGTCAGACACTGGAACAGGTTGCCCAAGGAAGTTATGGATGCCCCCTCCCTGGAAGCATTTAAGGCCAGGTTGGATGAGGCTTTGAGCAGCCTGGTCTAGTGGCAGGTGTCCCTGCTGGTGGCAGGGGGCTTGGAAGTAGATGATCTTTAAGGTCCCTTCCAACCCAAACCATTCTGTGATTCTATTTATGATAAATAATGATTCTATTTATGATAAATAATCTATATATTCCGTTACTTAGATTCAGAATGACAAAGGTCTGGTGGGGCATTTTTAATATTTTTAAAAGCCGACACAGGTACTTGCTATAAAATAAAGATACTATGAATGTTTAAAATAAGCATGCTAGCAACAAAATTCCAATCAAACGTGTGCATGTAATTGATGAATCCAATTCAAATACAGGTCAAATTTATTAAAGGAGTAAGGATGCATCTGGTCTCACGGGAGGGTCCCGGGCTCAAATGTCTAGTACATGGAGGCACTCACTCTTTACCCCCAGTCTGCAACCAGAACTCCAGAGAGGCAGGAAGTGGCACATCTTTGCCCTGTATTTCCTTGTATTTCATTGCTCTAGGATGCTCTCTATATAGTCAGAACAGCTGACTTCTGAAATATTAATTACATAAAAATTCAGCTTCAGAATCTGTTAAATCAATACATTATCAGTTTGAAAAAAAAATCTGGTTGTTGTTTATTAGGTCTGTCACAAATTGTCTGCAACATGTGTGTTCTTGATTCAACAATATCTTATTCCAGTTTTCTGCCAGTGAAATTTTACAGAAGTTGATGGAATTAAGAGGTCGCAAAACTGGCATAATAAGCTGGTAGAATTAGTAATAAACTTTAGCATTTGCATCGCTTTTCAGCATGCTTTACAAAAAAGTGAGTTCTGTTATCCCATTGTATAGGTAATGTAAGAAAAGATGATAGGTCTTATGACTGATAAGGTCATTCAGTAAGCCGGTGAAAGGAATGAGAATAGAATTCAGGTCTCCTAGTTTAGTGTTTATTTTATTATGTTATATTCATGACATGAAAACTTCAAGATTAGTTTACTCATTTTCTTTAAAACATGCACATTTTAATATGAAGCAAGTAGCTAAAGTCTGTGTCCGCTTATTTTGTTATCAGTTCATTTAAATCAGATGAACGACATAGATCTATGCCAGTTGTCCTTAAGTTTTATTTTTGTTTTACCCCTGAGTGACCTCCCTCTCTTCTTTCTGATATTAGTGTAGGCTTTTCTTTCTGTTCAATCGAAATTTCAGAGCCTCTATCCCATAACAATTAGAGCAGTCAGCCAGAACTATCTGTCTACAGCTACAATATACCAGTACAAACAAAAGGAGAGAACACTTTCAAGGCCTTTTATATTGCTGTCTTCATACCTGTGATGGACTACTTGACAATTGCACTTTCTTACTCTGTTTTACAACAAAGAAGGTGTCTTCAAACAAACAAAAATACATATTTACCTTTATTGACTGGCTATTAAAGAACGTTTTACATCACTGAATGAAAACCTTTGAAGTATCTGATTTCTTGATAGCTGCTTGTCCAAACAGATTCAAGCAGGCCTTTGAAAACTAATTTCTGCAAGCTGCTGGATTAAATCAAGAAAATTAAGCATAGAGCATGTGTTACTTAAATGTCTGCATCTAATCTTTGCTAATCTTCAGTGTGGAGATATGTGTAAATTGAGGAAAAGAGTAGGTGGTATTAGAAATAATTAGTAGCCTTCCTAACTAGATCTACTAGCCGTAGTAAAATCTTGGTTCTGAAGACTTAAATTTGCTTTTGGATCAGAAGGTGGGAAAATATCTTTTTTTTTCCCATGAATGGAATGGAAACTGGCAGGGCAACATTTCAGCTGGTAAAGGTTGAGGGTTTTAGTGATTCTTTCTGGTATGTGATTTGGTTCCAAATACAATTTAGTTAACTGACTTTCTTTTTTATTAGCTTTGTATTCCTGTGATATCTGTGGAGATCTCTGTGGTTGGTTATTTTTTCTTTTATGTTTGAGCATAGGAGACCTGATTCTCATGAAAGTGCTCTTCTTTCAGGACAATTGGCTGTTAGGAAGGAGTACTGTCTGATTGAAGGTTTGGTGAGGCATTTGGACATTGGACAGATCCAAGAGAAATATAGCTGAGATTTTCATATCTCAGTTATTCAAGAGAACAGAAAGTCCCTCCTGAGTATTATTTCAGGACAGAATTAATTTAGAACTTTTTGTGCTGTAAATATTAGTAGAAAATGCCAGTTTCTTACTTTAGCGGTGTTGTAAGTGCTGATGTTAAATGTGTTCGATAATTTTAAAATCCACATTAATGACACAATGTTTTGACTTTTAATTCTATAGATTTTTCAGTGAAAAAAAATTCAGATTACTATTTAGATAGTTTGTAACATACTCAGGTAAGTCAGATTTTAAAAGATATGTAAACATCCAAAGATGTGGCTGTTTTTAGAAAAACTCTTGCACCTGACTTGGACTGAAATCAAGGAGACAGCCAGTAACTTTTGAAAATCTCAGCTGATAGACATCTTTACTCTCAGGGATCTAAATACTTTTTTTTTCACTCTTTTGAAATATTTTAATATTGTGGACTGACTTAACACTTTTGGTGTTGGAGGACAGGCAAAATCAATTGGTTAGAAATCAGGAACTAGTTTTGCTAGTTCAGCCTCAAAGATCCTTAGAGCTAAGGGCTTTTGGGAGAACTGCAAGTCATTATTTTCAGTTCTTACTGAACTGTAAGATGCTTCTCTTTGTTGGGACTTTGAGTGTTCTGCAAGGTTATCTCTTTACACCAGAGCTAGAAAAGCAGAAGTACAGCTTATGGTACCGGACATGCTATTTGGATATTGACTTCATCTCTAACTTAAATTTTGCCTTAATCACTTCTGAAGAGAAAAGGAAGTGCCGTCCCACACTGTGATTGCCTTTTGATATCTAACAAAAGATGAAAACCTTAGAATGTATTCCTTACAGATCTTCTGAATGTAGGACTGATAGTACAAATGTCTCTAACAGACTTTAAAAATATTTGCCAAAATTTACACTTTAATTTAGTAAAAGTTTTAATATACATTTCAGATTATTATTATAAAAATGTGCATATAAAGACAACTCAAAAGCCCAAATCTATGCTTTCATAAGTAACATGAGGCCAAGTTTTCAATTAATGTAGGGCATGCATTTACAAAGCATGTATTAAAGTCAAGAATCATAGAATCATGGAATGGTTTGGGTTGGAAGGGACCTTAAAGATTGTCCACTTCCAAGCCCCCTGCCATGAGTAGGAACACCTTCTACTAGACCAGGTCGCTCAAAGCCTCATCCAACCTGGCCTTAAACACTTCCAGGGAGGGGGCATCCACAGCTTCTCTGGGCAACCTGTTCCAGTGTCTGACCACCCTCACAGTGAAGAATTTCTTCCTAATATCTAATCTAAACCTGCCCTCTTTCAGCTTAAACCCATTACCCCTTGTTCTGTCACTACCTGCCCTTATAAAAAGTCCCTCCCCAGCTTTCTTGTAGGCCCCCTTCAGGAACTGGGAGGCCGCTATAAGATCTCCCCAAAGCCTTCTCTTTTCCAGGCTGAACAGCCCCAACTCTCTCAGCCTGTTCTCAAAGGAGAGGTGCTCCAGCCCTGGGATCATCCTTGTGGCCTCTTCTGGACTCGTTCTAACAGGTCCATGTCTTTCTTGTGATGGGGGCTCCAGAACTGGACACAGTATGCCAGGTGGGGCCTTACGAGAGCGGAGTACAGGGAAAGAATCACCTGCCTTGACCTGCTGACCATGCTAAAAAACTGTATTTAAATGGTACATATCAGAAGGGAGCACTATTAATGTTCTCAGAGTAAATGTGCTCAAACTGCTAGAGAGTGTTGTTTTGAATAATTGGTGGTGTTTTCAGAATGAAAGTTGAATAAATCATTTATATTAGCTTCTAAGAATCTCGACAGCTTCTGTTTAATGAGCCATTCTCCACTGACTGTAGTTGTTTGCCATATTTAATGTATTCCTCCCCTAAAATACTCAAAAACAAACTCAAACAAAAAAACCTCACCCCATAGATCAATATTTTAGACAAATAACTCATTGACTAGGTTGAATACAGTCACATGCACACAAGTATGAATATGTATATGCACTTGTACAAAAATTTTTCTTCATATAGATGGACTTAATATTTTCAAGTTTAGGATGTGAAGACAAGGTGAAACCATATGACATCACTTTTTTTTTTTGTCCTCAGGTGTGATATCTTACACAGAATATTTATTCCTCTTATGTATTTTAACAAGTAAGTATTTTTGAATGAAAAAAAACCCCAAATCTTCCTTCCAAATTTTTAGGCTCTGAATGTATTGCTGTATGTTACAATACCTTTTTTTTCTTTTTTTCCTCTTTCCTGCATATCCCAATATGGTGAAAAATGTATCATGCATCTCTGTGTCCTTTTGAACCTCTCCTGCCCTACTGGAATCTTGTTTTATGCTTTATTTCAGTATTTATTATTTAGAACACCTTTTACTGGCTGTTGAGAAAGTTGAACCATATACTCCAGCTAAGAGGTTAAATGTATTTTCTTCTTTGAAATTCCTACAAAATTTCTAGCTGAATTTACTGAAGTTCATAAAGGACACTGAATTATTATTACTGGTTTGCTTCACCTATTAGTGCATAATGGATTACATCAGTGAGACAGTGATAAAATATAAAGTATAAAATCTGTAAAACTAAAGTAAATGAAAACACTAACAAAACTGAATACTTATTCTTCCAGCACCCATAAAAACAAAGTAGAAGAACTTACAGTTACAGTAAACTAAGCCTGATACAGATTTTGTTTTGATATTTTAAGAGGTGTTTTTTTGGGAAGGAGCAATGTGTTTTACTTGTCTTTCATTTGTGTGTAATTCAAACATTTCTATTGGATTCTTTAAGGTTTTTTTCAGACATAAACTGGATTCTTATGAATTGGAGCAGGAATTTGACCCTGAACCCTTACAATTCATAAGTGCTGGATTGATGTACATTCTTCCATCATTTCTTTGTTATCTGGACTAACTTTAGGCCATGTATCTTTTTTGCAAAACTTTTAAAAGTGTCTTTTAGAACACTGTGTTTTCATAGAAAATTTGTTTTCTACAAGTTTGTGTTTTGTAACATAAAATGAACTCTAGTTATGAACTAACACTCTTAACTAGCCAACCAGCCATTACTGTGAGATATTTTTCTTGGATATTTCATGTTCTATTTCTGTTGTCTATTTCCCCTGATCTGTGGATCCCTGAGCATGCCTTCTGTTTTCATAACATGGATTATATTGCTTTACAGATGTTACAATTTACTGTGTATACAAATGTATTAATTTAAATTAGTTGAGGATATGGCTTTTATAACAGACACCAAATAATTACTTAGAGTTATATTTGCTTTCTTTCCAAGCAAATAAATGATTGAATTGATTCAGGGATTTTTTTGGCAGAGCCACATGCCGGTTTTAGGATCGCTTTCAACATGTTTGATACTGATGGCAATGAGATGGTCGACAAAAAGGAATTCTTAGTGGTACGTATATTTTCAGTCTGAATATTTTTATGTAATCTTGAATTTCATTTTTTTTTGCCTGGATTGAGACTCATGAGGATGTCAATAATCATGAGAACATGAGCTATTCTTCACCGAATGTCATTGTTTATTTTCCTTATTTAATGTAAATAGTAAATGTAATGTAAATTTTAGATAGAAGCTCATTACATTGCATGAGTGTGTTGTATGTAATGATTTTTGAAGCTTAATTCCAGTTTTTATTCTGGATCTTTTTAATTGCTGCTACATTCACAGATAATTAGGCTACTAAAATAATAGTTCTGTATCAACAGTCAAGAGAATTATTTAATTGCCATAATGATGGAGGGAATTGTGAAGGAATCTTTTCCTGGGAGACTGTCATTCATTCTGCTTGTAATCCCAGGTGACCTGAAAACATTGACTGACATAATGTGACACTATCATCTGTTTTGGACAGATACATCTAGTTCAGCCCATGAAATCCATATGCTGAAGCAATTTTCTAAGCTGGGGTTCAGTGACTTCTTTTTAAGGAGAATATTCCTGATAGCAAAATTTACTTTGAGCTTAATAATTTTCATGCACTTTGGAACAGTTGGCAGGACATCTAGAACTTGGCAGTATTTTTGTTGCATCCAAGGTCTTGTTATATTACAAATCTGAATTACAGTATTTTTCAAACTAGAGCTTTACTCAGTTTATTGCTTGGAAAAAGCAGTTCTGCAAATTCTTCTTACTAATTATTTAAGCAGAAAGTTGATTTTTCTGGTTAGAAATTTAAACAGTTCTAAAAGGTCCAGACTTTGAAAGCAAAATTAGCTTATTTCACATGTCATTGAGATATATGCTTTAAGAAGAATTTGGCATTTGAGAGAAAATCTTCAAAAAATTTTAAATCATCCAATATGTTTTGATTTTGATCATGATAAATGTGATAATTGCATCTTAAAATTTGAATGCTTCATCAGTTTTCGGGCGATAGGACTCACTAAGTACAAGAGAATGATGATTGCACTGACACGTAGAAGATTTTAAAAGCCTTGGAACAAGAGGGCTATTTCAGATTTATGTTCATTTCATTTCATTTCATTTTCTGATTTTAAAAGAAATGGGAGGAATAATTAATGCTATTCTGAATGAATGTCAGTGATGAAGTAAAAAAATTGATCATTTTTTAAAAAAATCACGAAATGCAGAAGATTGCCCAGTCAACTTTAGGGCTTCTGATTTTACAATGACTACGTGGCTTCATGTTAACAAACTGCACAATACAGTATAAATCAGTTTTCTAAATTCTAGCAAACATCGGATTAATTGGCCAAAGGGAAAATAGAAGAAGAACAAAAGAAAAAAAAAGTCTTTCATGATTCAGTGTGGTGAAATAGACTGACAGCTGGCTTCCATTACAACAGCTAAGTGGGAGGAAATTGAAGCAGAAGGCTTTGTCTTTCAGAATCTGATGCTGAAAATGAAATCAAATAAGTATATAAGGCCGGAAGCAAGGCCAACATTCAACTACAGATATTGCATCTTTCTTTCTAACTATGTTTTTATAGCCCTCTTCACATCCTGCTTTTTATTTGTTCTCTGTCATCGTCCCCGGTAAAAATTTCTCCTTCTCATGTTTTTTCTGTTACCAGACTTGGTGGATAGAAGAAAGAAACTAGAATTTTTAATCATTAGATATACTGTTCTCTACCTATTACTGTTTTCAACAAATTTGTATAGTTTAAATGTGACCCTAACTCTGCTTGATCACTGTGTCAGTGACCCATGAAAACTTAGATCAAAACCCATAAGTCAGAATGCTAGATCTGAAGTGAGAAAGACTAAAATAGAAGGTAGGTAGATAGATAATGTCTGTATAAGTAAAAGTAAATATGAAAATAAAAGTTGATTTAGTGATGCTGCAGCTGTGATAGACCTGGCCCTAGAACATACATTTGGCATCGGTACTCACCTTGCTTGGGTGTGCATCATCTCCTGTGTGCCTGGAAGCAGGAGACTGTAAGAGTTGCCATTTGAACTATATCCAGCAAAAATACTTCTCCATTGATTACAGTCAGGTGTCATAAAATTGGAAGTATAGTTAACACTGTTCAGTTTTGCAAATAAAGAGACTTTGAAGAGATCGTTGTAGGGATCACGTTATGTGATTCTTGAAGAATACATATAGTGAGGAGTTGAAAAATACTTTATTTTTTTGATAACAGCTTTAGTGTTTTTGTAAACTAATTCCATAGTGTTTGTCCTTTCTTCTTTGCTTATGTCACAGGGCTGAGGTCAGGGAACAGAAGGATTGTGTTGCCTTGTTACAGGAGATCTTGGTTTTGCTGCTTTCAGCAGTGACTCTCATTATCCTGTTTCAAACAATGTTCTTATGAAAGTACTCCTAGATCCTTTTTGCATTCACTTTTCTACTCACTGGTATCCTATAGCACTCCTTCTGAACAAAAGATCCATTTCCAGAAGTTTAGCAAGTGCTTTAATGATGAATGCAACAGAATCCTACTCCCTTTGCCTCTGTGGCAGGGTAAATATATCCAAGGATGCATTGCTTTTTGCCAATCTTTTTTGGTTTTTCAATTACTGCCACTCTTCTCTCCTACTTGATGGGTTGTCATTCTGCTTTTCATGAGGTATTTTCTTTCTACTTCTCTCTCTTCATTTACCTTTCTTCTTTTGACAGTTTTGGGTTGCAAACTGTGTAATACTCTAGACTGTCCAGCTAAATGTCCTATCATGACTCTTTCCTTATCAGCATAGCTTACAGTAATTTGTGCGTGTAGGTTTGCAAAAAATTAGAAAAAACGTACCAAGATCGGTAAGTTAATTTCATAGTCCAGCGTAGATACACACAATATTGTGGTCTGTATTTAGGCAATTCCAGAACACACTTTAACATTGCAATCCCTGGGGAGCTCTGTCTGTGTGTCAAAAAAAAACAAAAACCTGAGTATCAGGTTTTTATCAGACTTCTAGTGGCTAAAATTGGGTCTTTAAAATCACTGCCACAATTGTGTCTCTATGACATGATGTTTGGTTCTGAAAATACCATATTCTAGATAGGACAAATTTGTCACACATAGTGTTTATTCTTTTTCCAGCCCACTCTGAGATTAGCAAATGCTACAAGTGGCACTACAGTATTTTCACATGCAGTTTTTGAAAAGCTGAAGTTCACTGGTTGAGATATAGATGGCATCATAGTTAATACTGCTCCCTTTTCCTATGAAAAGTAAACACTGTGACACTTTTTTCTAATAGTTTGGGAATATTAGTAAGTACTACTAGAAATGAAATAAAAATATCTAAATAAAACAGATACTTTACGAAGAAAGATAAGTACAGAACAGTTCTTACTCTGAACACTTCATAATTTCAAAAAATACATATGCTCAAGAATCTGTATGTTTTAAATCATGTATTTGAGGTTTTCTCAGAAGTCATGTTTAAAGCTTTTAATGTAGAGAAAGTTGTGAAAGGGGTATTTTACAAGACCTGAAGGTATTCTTTGAACAGACTTGAAAAAAAAGGGTACTTGATAAATTACTCTTGAGTAGTAGTTTGTTGCTGCTGAAGGGGAATGTTTCACCCCCACCAGGTGTTTCCACCCCTCCCTTGTGCCAGCAGGAGTAACAACTGATCTGGTTGGAAACTAACAATATGAAAAAAGATTGATCCCTCTGACAACATAGCCACACAGATACTAATTAGTACCCAACAAGAAAAGATGTGCCTAGAGGTGGTGAAAAAGTCTGGAACTCCCCTTTTTTGTATAGCCTAGATTGGATAAACTGTAAAGGTAAATATGATGCTTTTAGTATTTTGCTCACAAATAGAATTATTAGCCTTGCTTTGTCGAAAAAATATTTCCTTTTTCCTTTCTATGTGATGGTTAAGGTCATAGAAGGAACGTGAAGGCATTCATATGAACAATAAGGCATCATTTAAACATTGATATTTTAGTAAAGGACTACATTTTAATACGATTTGCAGTGTTTTGCACAGCGAATGATTGTTATGTATGTGAAATAGCCTGAAAATTAAATAAGAACAAAATGGTTTGTTTTTTAGCTACAAGAGATTTTCAGGAAAAAAAATGAGAAGAGAGAAAGAAAAGGAGATGAAGAAAAACGTGCAATGCTGGTAAGTAAAATTAGAATACTTGCAGCTGGTAGTTCATTTGTTTTCTTTGGTATAGGACAAAATTATGTGTGTGTATATTTCACTAATAACTTTCAGGTTTTTTTAAACAATAAATTCATGTAATTAAAAGAATATGTATAACTTTATACGTAGAAAAAAACAGTATTTAGCCTAAACTGAAGTTACTGAAAAAAAAAAAAAAAAGTGATCTGTAGAAAGAAAAAATTAGTGTTTAAATACTTTATTACATATTATGACAGTAGCATTGATTCCATTTGGAGCCTGTAAGTCTAGGAAAAACTAAATAGTAATGACCCAGTGTTACTGTCTATAAGACTCAGAGATCTCAGCGACAAGACCAAACTATACTCCTGCTTTCATAACTAACTGAAGCTGTTCATGTAGACATACCAATCCCAATGTTTGTTATTAACATAGCAGTTTTAAAATAGCTGATTAAATGTTACAAGTGAACTTAGAATTTATATTCACATTTATTTTTTTTATAAAATACTAAATATTGCTTATGACCATTGCAAAATGGTTTTAGTTTATTCTATTATCTGAATAGGTTTTAGTGGAATATTGAATACTCATTCTTATATAATGTCAAATTTGCATTTCTTGTGTTCATAAGAAAGGTAAGTCAGAAAGAGACAAGTCTGTGGTGGTTTGTCTGGAGGATGGCAGCAGCAGCAGGAACTTATTTTACTGTTGGACAAGTAAAAATCAGGGACAAGTCTTTGTCAAGCCCACAGCAGAAAAAAAAATGTTCATTTGCGATTTGCATATTTACAGCAAAAATTCCTTATTATAAGAAACGTTTTGATATATATGCAAAGCTTCTCATAGTGCCCTTTATCCTTTTGGGACCATAGGTGTTTGATCTCAAATCCTTGTCTCTGAAACCATAGGAAGTTTGAATTTCAAGAATTAATACTTTTTAAACCTTCCCTGAGCATAAAAAAGGGATCTTTTCTTCCCACCCAGAGAGACCTATCATTCTCAACTTTTTAAAACTGTGGGTCAGTTGTTGAATCTCTCACACACTGTTTATTCTGAACAAAGGAAACTTACACCCAAAGGAAGGACTTTTGGAAAAAGTAAAGATTGCAAAATGGAACATTTCTCCTGAGACTAATCTCTGCAACTCTGTACTTCTCTTTTGAAAAACTGAAGAATGAGATTGAAGATAAACTATTTTTTTCTTCACTGTCACTTTAAAAACAAAAAAACCAAATGAAACAAAAAAAATCTAATAATATGTAAAATAAAGATTTGCTTGTCTTAACCTATTCTGTTGTCTTTTTCCCCCCTCCTTTTGGCTTCATTCTGACATGTGATACTTGGCTTGGCCCGTTTTTGCTGTATGTCAGCATCTTCAACTTTACGGATATCATACTTCTACTAACAGTGTATGTACTCTAATTATTTTCGGTTTATGCAGTCTTCACCGGTGAAGTGAAATAATATGCTATAAGAAAATTTACTATATTTATCTTTTTCATCAAGTAAATTACTTCTGCTTATCAGCAAAAATGTGATGGATCTTTACTTTCATAAAAGATTGTACATGCTTGTTGCATGCATTCTGAAACAGGCAAGCCTACCAGGAGGAAAAGTTGCTCTCTTTGTTTATATAAAATGAAGGAAATAATATTTTTAAGGGAAAGGACAAAATATATCTTAAGAAATTATAGACTTGGTTTTGATTAATGTATGTAAATTAAGTCAAGCTGCATGAGTTATTTGATCCAGGTCTGTCTTGTCTCCTTGTGTATAATGTGAAGTAATAATTAGTCAAATGAATCCCTCATGTCTTTGTCATCCCCCCACCCCCTGCAAAAAAAAGAAACCAGAAGAGAGCTGTTGGATCTTTGTGCTTCACTCACAGAACAAATAGATAAAAACTTTCCGTGCTGAACTAGAATAGGATTTTACACAAAATAGTCCATGTATTATATAGGTGACAGTAAACTTATTTTCAATCATTTTTTAAGAGTGGGAGAGAGAATCAGCAAAAGAGAGATCTGGGGTTTTTGATGTCTTCATCATGACCTGATTAATTTTTGGATCACAGCAGAAGTAAAACTGTTTCAAAAAAAGATTGATTTTATGTTAAAATAGAAGAATTAAACTTGGTTTTGTGTGATTATTGTGATATTCAAAGTGAGGGGAGGTATCCTATGAGAATTAGATGACTAGTGAAATTCCAGTTTTAAAGTCTATTTCTTTATATAATCATTCTCAGGAATGCACAGATTTATTTCCTGTGAAGTTAGCATATACAATTAGGGCAATATGCAGGAAGGAAGTCTGTTGAATGAAAGGTGCAGTGACATGATATAGATGCTGCAGTGTTGTGAGAATAATGTAGTAGGAAATAAGAGGCCTTATGATTCAATGAATTTTAGATCAGGCTTTACTGCAGTGGAAGATGCTGTACAGTGGATGACATACTCCTTTTCTGCCTCCTATGTTAAACTGAAACCAAACTAGTTAGGCTTTCCTTCTCATACAATAATTTTCAAGTTTAGTAAAAAAATCTCCTTTTAGACTCCAGGCATATCCAGACTCTTTGATGATACTCAGGTGTGCACCTTCTTTTTCTGCCTTCTGACTACCTGGATGGAGATCTCCATGCAAAGGAGACTGAGATGTATAGGAATTCACAGTATCTGACAAATCCCCTACCCCAGAAAACTGATACTTTAGGTTTTCTATTTTTCCTACTGAAACAGGAAGTGTAGCAGCCTTTTCAGTTTCCCTTGATGCCCTGGCGGGTTTTAAGATACTCCAGACCAAGGAGATGGAGCCCTAAAATGTCTGGCATAGTCCAAAGTGCTGTGCTGGGCCCTTCTCCTCACTTTATCTGTCAAAACAGTTCTAATTTTTTGAGAAGTGTCAAGGTCTATAAGCCATATAGTGCACAGGGGGATGTTTTAAATGGGTTAAATATTTTTGTGTTTTCATTTGCATAGATAATTCTCTGAAGTCATGTTCTGGTGCATACTGCAGTTGTGTGTTAAGGCTACTTCAGCATGTAATGCATGTGTGCACTCACTAGCCAAATGGCAACCAGAACGTAATAGTTATGATGAGTTGCATGTAATGAAGATTAAATGTGCATGCTCAGAACTACTAATTCCATTGGCTAAAGTAAATCTCTAGTAAAAGAACAATTTCAGTGAATACTTAAAATAAATAGTTACAAGGTTGTATGCGTAAGAGAATGAGGTGTTGTTCATTCACATGACCCAGTAAACATCAAAGGGGTAAATAAATGTAAGAGTGAAACCTCTAAGGCCCTAATCCTGTACACACTGAAGTAAACAAATTTATTTGGCTTAGCAGTTTAGGACTGAATGGAGTTATATATGAGAATACTGTAGCCACAACATAGGAATTCTTGCTCCCTAATAAGCGAAAGATAAAACCAGAATTTTTCAAAAAGGGAACAAAAGTATAATATGCATGAAGCATGGATATAATTCCTGGTAGTTTGTGGTGTTTCTTTGCTGACAGTTTCTCTGATGACAGAAGGAGCTGAGTTGAATTGGTTAGTAGAGGAAATATGTAATAGAACTTGCAGAAGCAGTACATACAATGTGTTAACATAATGTAGAATACATAGAGACAGTAAACCTTAAACTCTGTACAGTATTCTTTATGACAACAGTGTGATTTACACATCACACAGTAGCATAAATCTTCTAAGAGAACAGTACGTGGTGAGTAAAAAAAAAATGGTTTTCATTTGTAGTTAGAAGATTAAACTCCTTCTGTCTTTGTCTTGCCTGTCCAGATGGACCTGAGTGGGGAGCTGTGAAAGCAGATCTAGTTTAGATTAACTTGTGGAGAAGAGAATATTCATGCAGTTGCAGTAGCCCTAACAAAGTTCAAATAGCCTTCTGCTGTCTTTAGGATGACCTTCCCTAGATTCTTTGGGCCAAAGAAAGGGAAATTTATTGCATAGATTTTCCACGATTAATTGCAAGATAAAGGAAGGCCTGTTTTAATCAGGGAAGATTTTTCAGGCCTCCAAAAATGAAACATTTCAGAGCAAAAAGTTAAGTATATTTTCCTTGGAGAGATTAAACACTTATTTTCTGTTTAAACAAGGTAAGTTTGATAATCAGACATGCATAATGTCTTCTTGATAAGTATGTTACAGTTGAAGTTGGACTTACTAGGCCTGGTTTTTGCATTTGTTTATTGGTGCAAGGATGCCATCCTGATTATTGGGTGAAATTAATTTTATATAACTAGTTGTATGGTGGTATACTCATTTTGACCAATGAGAAAACGAATTTCATAGGTATACAAATTAATATTTTGTTGTCAGAACAGAATTGTTAGACAAAACAATAGCAAAATACAGCAGTTTAGATGGACGTTTTCACATGTACTTTTAATAAATATTTCCACTTTACGCTTTTTCTAATTTATTTTGTTTGGGAAAGTGGAGTCTGGTGGTACTTTTGGCACAGAGAAGTTATGAGTAATAAGCAAATAGCTGTAATAGACCAGTGTTTCTTTCATTTACACAGTGTCATGTAACTGGGTAGAAATTTATGTAGAAGCAAAAGAATCAAGCCATGTTGGAAAAGATTTTAAAGTCTCTTAAGTGGTTGTTTTATTGTTCTTTGGTTTTCAAACAATTGTGCTTCTTGAAACTTCTGCAGGTTCTTAAAACAGAAGGAGAGGACCTTGTGCCCAGAAGCTATTGGGATACTCTGAGACGTAGCACAAGCCAAGCACTCTTTTCGGACCTTGCGGAGGTATAAGACAACCTCTGTCTCTGGTCCATAAACAGACTGTTATTTTATTTATTTCTATCCTGATTATTTTCCTATTTTATGCACTTTGTTTCTTCTCTTTCTTTTAATTACTAAAAAAAAAAAAACCCCGAAAGTTCTCAGATTAAATGGGTTCGGTTCTGTGCAGTGCAATATTTAAAAGTTATAATTTCCAAGTAAAAGCAAAGTTACCTTTTGAAAGAGTTGGAAGATCAAGTCCTCTTCAATCCTAACTGTAAGAAGCATTTTCTAACACCAGTAGTGACAATATTTCACAGTTAGAGAAGTAATGCAGGAAACCTTTGTCATTTAGGCTTAGTCCAGTGATATGACAACTTTAATGAGAGTTGCAGCACTTTAAGCTTTTAATCTTTAGGTCCTCAGTGTGCTTTTTATGTATGTTATCACAGCTTATCTTCACAAAATCAGTATCACTGAAAGATTGTTTTAATTGTTGGATGAGACCAGGAATGTTTTAAGGTAGCCAAAACATTAGTTAGTCTTATTTTAATATTACACAATCATTGTGGAGGACTAGCAATATCACTGAGCTGTCAAATTAGTTTCCATAGTTCTTGAAATTCTAATAAGATTCTTATTTCATGATCTGCTTTCAGATAATTGAGTAAGGCATTTTATTTGTATTGATCATTTAAGAGGGTCAGAAAACTAGATTATTTAGGCTTTTCTGTGCCCCATCCAGTGAGGGTGATTGCTCTGCTGCTTGTGGCATTAAAGGACATACAGCAACTCCCCACTGACTGATCTCAAGTCCCATACTTCGTAAGCAGGATCATAATGAGAAAAGAACAAGGAACTGAAATGGACCTCGAGGGTAAAACAGTCTTTTTCTTTGCTTCATAAGCAATGTGTGCTCCATGTTAAAAGTAATTAGTGTTTTGTCCCTGCTGTTCCTCTGCAGAAGCTATTGAATAACCTGAGGACTTGGATGGACTTTTTCTAATTTCCAGGCTAAATTTACTCATAGTCCCTTGATACCAGTCTGTTGTCCTTTAATTTTCATAGGGCTTTTTCTTCTGAGGTGTTTATCTTCTTACTCATGGTTGTGTTTATAAATTCAGCCCTCAGTTTTAATTGTCATAAGTGAAAGACAACAAGGTTTTTGATTTTTCTCCTAAGGTAGAAGCTACATTTCCCAGGTATCAAATAGGCCTTCTCTGTACCTCTGTCAGCTTGAGTTCATTTGCCTTTGAAAAAAAACAAAATGTAGCATTACAGAATTGAGTTTTATTCCAGCATTTGTTGCAATATTCAAAGTAATGCATTCATAGTAATCTTGCAATAAAGCAGTATACCCAGCCTTTCTTTCCTTTTAAATTGATGAACTCCTGAACTATTAGTCTATAGTTTATTAATATTAGTCCTTATTTATTCCACCAGATTTTAAAACCCAGAATATCAATGTTCTTGTCTAGTCAGCCAAGGGAGACATAGAGGGGAGAGAGGACCACTCTTTTCATTGACTATTTAAGGAGCTTGGGACACTGAGTTTTCTGAATTCACTGTCTTCCTAATCTGCAGTTAGCTGGTGTGAATTCAGTCCCAAGTGTAGAGGGACTTAGGTTTGGTAATCTCTACACACCTTTAATTTTAAGAGAGAGAGGTTTTTTACATCTGATTCCTCAGACTAATATCTGTAACTACAATGTAATTGAAGCTTAACAGCAACTATACTAAATATTGATTTAAATTATCTACAAAATATATAAAAAGTCTCTCTGCTCACTTGTAAATAATTTTGTGAAGAAAGATAATGTCCTGCATTCGCTCCCTGACAATATCCCACTTCTCACTGTAATAATCTTTGTCTTGCCTGTGTTAAGTCTGAGCCTGCTGGCTTTCATCCGTATTCTTATCTCTCTCAGGTACTCTCACATCTGAATAATATTATAGCCATCTGTACTAAGAAAGTGGCATAAAGCTAGGTGACACTGGAGTATGTGTTTTTTCATAGCCTTTTGAGAAGGCCTTGTGTGAGTTGTAAAGGAGAGTAAATAAGGTTCATTATTGTGGAAATCAACTTACAAGGTCTCTTTGGGGGGAAAAGTTGTTATCATCGCACCCAGTTTCTTTCTAGGACAGTTTGCAGAACTGTTTCTGCTATTCCTAATTTACCTTTCTGTTGCCGGTTATCACTGAATTCAGTTTATGGGTTTATTCTTAAATTACTAAATGAAACTGGAAATCAGTAGATTTATTATCACTATTGAAAAATCAAGGACTTGCAGGAAGAGAACTGTCTATTAATTCAAAGCATGATATGCATACTTTGTTCTCAGAATGTGTTGTTAAAAGTGGAGCATCACTCATGAGTGTAACTTACTTTTAGTCAATCCTCTTTAATCAAAAGCTTGAAATTAGTTTTGCAGAATATAAAAAGAAATAGGAATACTGCTCTTCAGGTTAGGAAATTAAGAGGAAAAGATGTTGCCATTATGCAGCAAGCCAGTAATGTGACTGAAATACTTGTCTCTCCTATTTGTCTCTTTACCTGTATTTGTATTACTGTTAGTGTAAAGGTAAAGATAAACAAGGCAGAGTTTTATTTTTAAAATTACTACAAAATATATTAAACAAAAAGTGGCTCGTATTTGTATATATGGAAACAGGTGTGGTGATTTCATTTTCACTGATCTACAACACAGTTCATTTTATTATGAACAGTAAATAATAGTTTTAAATTATTAAGGCTTTTGTTTTTATTCTCACCCCTTAAGAGAGAGAATTTATTTAATGCTACCAGTGCAGAAGGAGCATGGGAATAGTTTCAGTTGCCTTCAATTCTGCAGAGAAACATACTGGGTTGAGTTTCTGGGGTGAGGTTTATGTTCAGGTTTTTTTTTCAGTTAGTGAGGCTGACCAAATGGGAATTGTGAAAACACACACAGATTGTATTTTTTAATGGTTCTTTAGCTCTGAGTGAATGCAACCTAAGTCTAAGGTTTTGAAATGTTTTTGCAAGATGAAAGGCCATAATTTAACATTTGATATCTTTTCAGTGTACTTGAGGGAAATTGTTTGAATATGCTTAGGGATTTAATTGCTTAAAAGACATAAGAAATCAGGGTATCTGCATTTCAGTATATTGTGTCCTGTAGTGGAGGATAACAATATTAAAAGACAAATAGTGATTACTTTTCTGAATTAGTTTGCTCACTTGAAGAGCAGAGCTGCCTTAATTGAAGGACATGAAATATCTCTCTACCTATATATACACTATGTCATCTTATTTCTCCCCGGAGAAGAATATGAGAATAAAAGAGGAAGCTAGAGTACATGAAATACAATCTTGAGAATCCTAAACTGATTATACTAAAGTACAGAAAAGTCTCTCGCATTTCTTTAGTTCTTAGATGTTGAAAGGAAGGATTTGTATTGTTACTTCCTCATGTTTTTCCTTCTTGTTGATACATAAATACTCTTAATGGAAATTGCATTTTACATTTTTTACAGATCAGTGTGTGAAATTGAAATTAATATACTATATTTCAGAGAATGTATATATGAAATGCTTTTTCTTGGTACTTTATGTTGAACTACTGCATACTGTTAAAAATTTTTTCCTAGTTTCTTCATTTAGAGTTTCTGCTTCTATTACAAATTTATATCCTCTTCGGTTATGAAATAGTACAGTGCAAGTTCAAAGATTCCTGTCTGATGCAGAGACCACATACTCAGTAGATGAGGGACATTCTTAAGAGAATAAGTCAAAATATTACTTCATTATTTCAAAATTTCTTACAATTCTGTTGTTTTAAATATATTTTTATGGTTTACTTCAACTGACTAGAACATTTTTTTTCTCAAGAGTTTCTGGTTTTATTTTTCGTTATTTTCCTCCTTCATTGCAGCTTCCATTATATTATTTTGTTGTTTTAAATGTTTTCTACTAAATGTAATTAACAGTCTAATGCTATTTTGTGTGAAAATTGCATGACTAAATTAATTTAATGGATTTTAGTACCAAAGTATTTTTAAGACTGTGAACATAAAACACAGTCTTTTAATAGAAAGGTCTGTTATGATGATAGGCATTCTCATATTATGCTTCTGTAATTGATCCAATCATGGCCTTTATTTTTTCTTATTCTAATATTTAAGCGTGCTGATGATATTTCAAGTTCACTGTCAGATACTACACTGCTTGTACACTTTTTTGGCAAGAAAGGAAAAGCTGAACTGAACTTTGAAGATTTTTACAGGTGAGTAACTTTGCTAATTCCTTGTAAAAAATACTCGCATGCTTGTTCTAATTCACATGTATCATGTTACTATATGTATAGTTTATGCAGACATGTATATAAAGTTTATGTTCCCCTTTGTGTGTGTTATATATAAAAAGAGAAAAATAAAACATAAGTGGACCCACAATAAAAAGTCTTGTACTGATGCTGCTACATTTGGAAATTTTGTAGCACATGTGTGCGCAGTTGGTTTGGGGTGGAGAGGTTACACCTCAACCGTGTCCGTATTGGTATATAGGAACTTTTTTTCTTGGTTTTGAATTATTTTTATTTTTTCCCCTGTTTTTCAGTGCTTTAAAAAAAGCTTTGTGTGCATCTCTGCTCTTAGGCACATATTTAAATGTAAATATTTTTCTGAAGACATCATGTAGGCACCTTAAAGCAAGCTTCTTCAGGAAGAAATGAAAACACAGTGGAAGCTATTGGCTTAATTATTGCAGCAGTTAAAATACAATTTTAAAATATAGGGAGAGTGCCATAAAACTGTATGTTTCTGTATGATTGAAAGAGATACAGTGTTTGGTTATTGTTTCCTTCGTAAATAGTCCTTACACTTATTGTCTTTATAGTTAACACTTATTTATGCATCTTAATCAGTCAGATGTTTGAAAAATATTTTGCCTTCAAATTAGATACGTCATGAAAAGCATTCAGTATTTCACATCAAGTGAAATCATTCTGTGAGTTCAAAACAAGAGCCAGAAAAGAAGGTACTTTTTCAAAAGGCATCAAGTTTAATAGTCTATCTGTTGCTGTAAGACGTTGTGAATGCTAAAGAGGTAAAAACGTAGTAGAAATATTTGTGAAAGAGGGATCCATCAAGTTTTATTCAACACTACTTTACCAGCTCAGAAATCATTAAACTGTGGACTGATGAGAGAAGTACTATTGTATGTTTACCTTGCACTTAGACTTTTGCTGAGACATGCTTTTGATTTGAGCTCCTCATAGTTCTTCTAGAAGTTAAGTTATATATTAGGAAGGAGTGTTGCAAACAGTGTTTACAGGATGTGAACTCCTGGGAATCTGTAACAGGGAAGTGTTACCAGTTGTGGGTGACAGATGAACGTGAGCTCGCAGTGCAGTACTGTGACCAGAGAGCTAATTTCATCCCTGATGGTATAACTAGGACATTAAGCAGAATCGGGGAAGTTTTATTTCCTTTTTACAAAAGGGTAGCTGGCTTTATACTTTATCCAGTTTTGGTGCCCAGAGTATTCTAAATATGTTGTGAAGTTGCGAAGAGTTTATAGAAATATAAGAATAGTGAAGTAATAAAAAAAAAGTTTAGATTGAAACACTTTAAGAGCTCATCACACTTAGCTTGTTAGAAAGGTAAGGTTAAATCTTAATTTGTAAGTAACTATATGGGGAGTAGATTTTGGAAATTCATTTTTAGAAATTTATTGGAATTCTCAGTCTAGCATGTAAAAATAAAGATCAGTGACCCACTGAAGAAGACAATTAAGCAAACACAAACTAGAAATAAATCAGAAATGTAAGTATTAAGTCATTTTAATCCTTACTAAAACACTTCATCTTTGAACTTAAGATCATTGTATTGATTAGAAAATATGTCCACATAGATAAGGGATTTACCAATTTAACATCAGTGCTACAAAAAGGGAACTAATTTGTATAATGGTGTTTGGCTTTATATTCTGCGAGTCTTGTAAGGACATGAATATAAAGTGTTACCATTTCTTCATATTTATGTTTGTGCTTTAGATTTATGGATAACCTACAAACAGAGGTTTTAGAGATAGAATTCCTTTCCTACTCTAACGGGATGAACACCATCAGTGAGGAAGACTTTGCCCATATTCTTTTGAGGTATACAAATGTGGAAAATACATCAAGTTACCTGGAAAACATGCGCTGCAGAATTCCTGAAGAAAAGGTAATTGTTTAGCTAGGACAGCAGTGGGCCACAGAACCCAGTTCCAGTGTCATCAAGATGAAGACATAGCCTTATTGGACTGAATGAGATTCTGTCACTGAATTAATTAGCAACAGGATTTTATTATGATCTTAAGCTGTGTGTCTCATGTTTTTCAGATTACTTGCTGAATAAAAAGTAGAAGAGTAAAGAGCATAGAATTACATTTCATAGGATTTAGCTTGTAATATTTTTGAAGTTTAGATAACAAAGTTTAATATTACATTAAAATTCAGTTTAAACAGCAAAAAACATAAGACTTGAAAAAGAACAATTTTCTAGCAATGAAGCATTAAAACTTCTTTTGCACTGCCACTGGAATAGCACCTCTTCAGCAATAACATTGACACCCTTTATCTAGTTGTTTTATAGTCTTAATAATGGATCACTTGTATATAATTATTGATGGGTGTGTGGTTCTTATTACTGACAAGATAGAAAAGGTAATAAAAGCAGTAAAGGTCATGAGGTAGATAGTCCTTCATTTGTTTAACAACAAATGTGTTGTCAGAAGTGTATCTGAGAGAAATGTAGTGGCAACTGTGCATCAATGGTAATCAATAGGATGACATTAAAATTAGCCTTTCAAATAAGGGATGTTTTGGATATACTTCTGTTTGTGTTTGCAGAAGGAAATTCGATTAATCTGTCCTGGAAATCTAACTCGTTCAATGGCTATGTATTTTAAGAGCATTGACAGCAGAGCTTGTGGAGAAAAGTAATAAATCAGTTTGGACCATTGTTTATTTTTTGATTTGAGAAATTACATTGTAATTTCAGTCTACAGAGCAAGAAAGATCAGTCAGCTGACCTGACAGAAACACACTCCAAAAATACAGTTTTCTGTTCAGATATCTGGATTCTTCCTGTGGCTGAACAGCAGTTCGGTCCACTGAGAGATAAATATAGTTGGGGAGTGGAAAGGGAAAGCAGGGCTGTCTCTTTTGCACCAGATTAGGTGTAAGATGAAATGGTAAGATGGGATCAGATTTCCTCCTCACCAGCCCTTTATGAGTTCCCGCTCTAGCCGCTGAGGCACTCTGTTCTAACTACTCTAAAAGGTCTGCACAACTTTCAATATTCAGAACCAAGACAGTGCAATACAAATGGTATAATGCTCTTTTTGCATGGATTTTTTTTTGTTTAGGGTGAAATCAAGATTTCCCTATATATTTAAATCTGAAAAAAAATTAATAATAATAATTATTTTGGGGCTTGTATAAGAACAGTGATATAAGTATTACTTGAGTAGCTGAAAAATTACAGTCGTAGGTATAGAGAAATACTTCTTTGAATGGCAAAAGTGGAGTTGATTAAATAAGTATAAATACAGACACTTTATTTAAAACACAAGGAAGTATTCTTTGAATCTTTGAGGTTCATCTCTAAGCCTTCCAGTGCCACTGTCCTGATAGCGACAGTGCAATACAAATGGTATAATGCTCTTTATAAGAGCTTATATAATGCTTATATAAGTCTTCCACAGTAGTTTCCTCTTGACCTCTGGTGGGACCATCAGCTAGGGAAAACTTCCATGTAGAAGGCTGTGTCACACAGTTACAGGTTTGCTTATGCTGCATTCTGCAAATATCCTGCCACTTGACCAGTGCCATCTATCTGTATGTCATATGCGACACCTCCACTAACTAAAACAGGATATTGCCATTTTCCGTAGCTGCATATCGCTGGCTTGGTAAATGTGCTGTCAGTACGGTGGAAAAAGTAATCCCTGTGACGTCTCTTGTGCTGGCCACAGGCTTTTGAGAATGGGACTTTTCCTCTAATTGCCATGGAGGTGTTGTTCATGTTTGCACTTTTTTACACTTGTACTAACAATATAATTTGAAAATTATGAACTGTACTCTCAATTTTATTACAGTGATACCCTGCAATACTAATAGAAACAAGAGGATTCCATTTAGAAGAAAAATTAGTCTAGCCTATAAAATAATAGGCAGCTATTCTTACAGTTGGCAATGATAATCTTTCATGGTGCTCTATGTAGAAGCCTTTAAAGCAACATGATGATCATCTGGCGTATTGTAGTTGCACTAATATGTTCATCTGGCATGCTGCCTGCTCACAGGATGTTTTCCTCCTCTTACTAACTTGATGCCAAGCAGTGATTCATTTAAGCTGGCATCTTGAATTACTACAAATATCAGCACCTAAAGAAAGTCTGCATTTTTAAGAGCATTGGTGTATTAACATAACAGTTTTCTTTGCTGCGGTAAAATATCTAGTTATCCAAAATCTATCCAAATAAATTTAAAAGTTAGCTTCCTTTTACATAGAAAATAGTTTCTAGTAGGAAAATTCTGGGATATCTTCTTGTAGATAACTTCCAATGTCAAAACGCAAAATGTATGGCAAATACAAAATGTTATTATGGTTATCAGTTGAAATGGTCCTAGGAGAGGAGAGAGATGGTAGAATGCTGTGTGCCCAACTGTCTCTGAGTGTCATTTTGCCTGCCCTTCTGCCCCTTTTCTGTCCTTTCCTTGAGAGGAAATAGACATGTATCATTGCAGATTATTTCAGCAGAAATTGTAGAACTCTTAAATGAAACCAGATATTTTTCTCATTGCTAAAACATGGAGTATGTACAGTTTAGCCATAGACTGCAGGTGTGACTCCTTTATCTCCCTGCTTCATTGTCAGGGTCAAATCACGGCAGCAGTTTTCATCACTACTAAAACCACAGAAGCTAGAAAAAGGCTTGTTTGTAGACCAATGGTTCTCAGTCTTTCCTGTGTAAAGGCTGCTTTCTATCTAACCTGATCATCTCCTGTCTAGTTGTAAAGAGACAGGATTTTTGCAGTAGCCTGACCTCTTACAACATCTCCTACATTCAGAATCCTTACAGACAAATTGGTGCAAATTAAGGATTTTTAAAAAATCATTGTGAGCCTAAAAATGTCAACTCAAGACTTTGGTGGCCATTTTCTATTATTGCTATTTTGCCATAGTACCTGAGAGTCCCAGCTGGGCACTGAAGTTTCACCAGTCTAGGTATTTCACAAATATGAGACAAAATTATTCCAGTCCCAGAGAGGTTTCAGTCTAAACAGAGTGCAAGAAACAGAACTTGAACATAAACTATTAGATGTCACATACAACAAAACAAGAAGACAGCATTGGTTAGTATTAGTAAACTAAGCTTTTAAGATAAAAATTTAAAGGAGAATAAGGAGGTGGTTCTGCTTATGTCTGAGAGTTTCCTCCCAGTTGCAAAGGATGAAACAGTGAAGAAATAAGCTTGTTGAGAAAAGCAATTCATATTGGAGATGGGTCAAGCTCTCCAATCACAGTTTGTAAATCTGAGCTAGAGTTTAGGCAGAATCACTTAAGTGGTGGTTTACATCTCAAGTGGGTGGAGGCCTATTAAAGTCTTTTGTTTTAACAGTCTTACGTTGCTTTCCACATTTACCACAGTACTTGCTCTCTCATATGGGTTTATGCCTAACCTCTGCCATTTTCTCCTCTGCCACTAACCTGCTTCAGTATGTTTTGTGTCTTCCACCATACCGTAGTGACTGTGTGTATCTTTGAGGAGAAACGTAGGTCAAGATTTTAGTTTGAACAGAAAGGCTCCCAGGTCTCTCTAATTCTTCAGGGTTATTTTCAGAAAGAAGTAGTTAAAAAGCATAAAAGGATAAAAGCAGATAGGAGAGTAGCCAGGAATGATAGTTAAAGGAGGTCCGGGAGATCAAGGTTTGATGAAGAATGCCATCCCATGTTCACAATGGCTGACACACCATGGAGAATGAGATATAAGCAATGGTCCTGACTTAATTAAAAGTCTCTGTTTAAGGTCTCTTTAACAGTTGATTTAGAGATAGTTTATCAGGTCTTTGGATTTGTAGCTAAGGTGAGAGAAAAGCAGAACAAATATCATAAGGAGAGAGGAAAAAATAAACTCTTTTAACAACAACACTTTCAGAGAAAGTTTCCCAGAAGAGTTCTGAAGTCTGCTGAAAAGGCAAAAGATTTTTGAAAAGCTGGACAAACCCTGCAATAATTGATACTTGAAGTATCAGCTGAAGAGACTTAGGTGTCTAAATCTGGATATGTAAAAACTTCACTTTAAGGGACAAAGCTTAAGTTGTATTTATGAATTCATTCAATGCATTTATGTGAGCACACACATATATATATAATAGGGGTTTGCAGGTTTTCAGTAGTAAACATATTCCAATATTCATACAAGCCTAGATTCTTATTCTCGATATTGACTGCCGTATCATAATATTCCTGGAATTCTTAAAGATTGCCTTAAGCAATGGAACAATATCTTTGACTTCTTTTTGGGTGAGAATTGCTATCTGTTGCAGTAGAAAAGAGGAAAGATATCTTGCATTCCTCAGGAGATTCCAATTCCTTACTTAATTGATTTTGAATACGAATTATTTTTTCAGTGGATGTAGTTATCTGTTCTTAAATGAAGTAGACATATGTAACTGCGAGGTTTATTTATTCAGTTATCATCACTACTGATAGTTCTGATGGTGTATATTGTTCTTCCTTTTTTTTTAGGGTATCACATTTGATGAGTTTAGGTCATTTTTCCAATTCTTGAACAACCTAGAAGACTTTACAATTGCAATGCAAATGTATAATTTTGCAAGTCGTTCCATAGGTCAAGGTAAGTATTGATATTTTTGTAAAAGTCTATTGATAAAGATACAGAACTCTTGACAAAAATAGAAAAATGTTTTGTAATTCCTAGTTTGTAGTTCTAATGTCTCAGGTGAAAGGCTAGAAAGGCTAGGATTCCAGCTTTGAGAGAAGAAGGCTCAGTCATATCATAGGAGATATGATAGAGCTTTACAAAGTCATGTAAGTGGTGGATAAGATGAATGCTTTGGTCACCAAATCCTACAATACAAGAGTTAAGAGGCACATGATGACACCAATAAGAGATGAGTTTAAAGCAAACAAAAGCGTTTCTTTACGCAGTGGGCATCTGGAATCTGGCCTTCTATGAAGGCTGTAGAGTGAAACAGTGTTAGAAGGTCCAAAGAGGGATTAGACAGTTTTTTTAACAAATCAGTAAGTGAGTGCTGAAATAACTAGGTAGTTGTGTACTGACTGAAATCCTTAATACAACAGTTGAGATGCTTGGGGAGTGCAAGGTGAGCAATATCTGAAGCAGTCAGACTTGCTTGTGTGTTCTCCTCAAGTAGCATCTTTATGAGTCCAACACAGTAACACCTGTATAGTCCTACCTCATGTGGCCTTACCAGAGGAGTGTACTGTTTTCTCTGTGCTCTATTTCTTAGGTTCTGTTTTGTGTCAATTAAGTAGATGCCATCAGTATGTATGTAACATAGGTTTAATTATGATATGATTTTCTAATTTTATTACACACAGTATAGTATATGGACTGTTATCTTTTGTGTAAAATAATTGATACCAATTAAGCAGTATCATTTTATATCAGTTGCGAACTACTTGGTTTAGAACTGTGAAATTCAATCCTAATTTTCACATTTTCATAGTTTTTGAGTGTTTACATGTGAAAACTCAAGTTAAACATTTACTTATGGATTTCGTAATATGTTGTCCACAAATTAGGATTAAATTCATGTATTTTATTTTTTCTTCTGATATTCTGTTTATGCAGATGAATTCAAACGGGCTGTGTATGTAGCCACAGGTGTGAAGCTGTCACCGCATTTGGTGAACACAGTGTTCAAGATTTTTGATGTCGACCGAGATGACCAGTTGAGTTATAAAGAATTTATCGGCATTATGAAAGACAGACTCAATCGAGGGTTTAGGGTAAGGATTCCGATTTTTATAGTTATCTTAGTTGGCTTTACTACTTTCCACTACTTAACTTTAACACCTGTAGCACCAGTAGGTTGCAAACCAACAGTACATATGTTTAATGACATATGTTTTACAGAGATCCCGAAGCAGTCTGTAAGATAAAATCCTTCTTAAATTCTTGATTTTTTAATTAGAAAGCAATACATAGATGACAAAATGTACCTCATAGATAACATAATGTACCTTTATAGCACAAAAAAACAAATTGGACATGAGAAATCCTCTGCATACTGTCATTTCTTCTTTATTATGTGATTGATAGATTAGCATTAAGAATTTTAACAAGGGTAGCAATTATGTCTGGATTGTTTGCTTGGAAAAGAGAGTTTGTCTCAGACTCAGGCAGTTTAGTGGAAGGTCAACAATTGGCTCTTCTAAAATGTTATTTAAAATACCAAGTGTTGATAATGACTGGTGGAAACTGTTGCAGCAGAAGATAGTTTTAATTTTCAAATAAAGCATTAGTGAAGTGGTGCTGAACAATGCTGTATTCTAGTTCAAAGTTGCTTTTGATAATTTAACCTTGTATCTAATATATTAAATTACAAGAAGCTAGAGGGCAGGAAATTACTTTCAGAAAATTTTCATAGGGAACAAGCTTGTAAATCATATTTTGCCTTTTAGGTGAATGTGTAGGCCTTGCTGCCCTCTTCAGGTTCTGTGTAGTACAGGGGAGTTTTATAGTAGCAAAAAAAAAAATTATTTAGAGTATGATCAATAGAAGTCACTGTTTTTCTTCATATGACAGATATTAACATTTTTAACTAAAGGTAAAATTATGTTTTTACTGACAACCTAATCCCTTAGACATAAATTTTAAACTGTATTATGGTTCCTAAATTCACATTTCAGTATGTTATTTCTGTAATATAACTCAACTTGACTAGTAATTTTTTGTTAGCTTCCTAAATATAATTTTAGAACTTTCTGTGAAGTGGTGTTGAGTCTAATAGTTTACTTGTTATTTTTGTAATATTATGATCAAATGTAAAATGTGGATTATAACCACTGCATTTGTAACAAACTTAACTCCTTGTTGGTCCTCAATTCCTTTTATTATGGTGTGGGAATGATGATTGTTTCATAACCGTTTCAAGATGTTCAGCTATATGTTTTAATTGTTTACTAATTGTAAGTAAGTGTGCAGTGTATGTAATTTAACCAGAAAACAGTCTGCTTACTAAGTAATTCTTGTAAATGTATTACATGTTTCTATTTCACAAAATGCATGACAGAAATCACATATAATCCGTAAGAACCTATATCATCCAGCACTATTCTGTCTTATGCATGTATCGTTCTTTTGCCTAGGCCACTATAAAGTACTCCAGCAGACTATAAATGAACTATAAAGAATAGCCAAGGATGTTCGGAAGAGTAGCACCATCTTCCATAAAGTATATGTCTAATTTTAATTAGGTATATCTCCTAGATTGCATAGGAGATATTAATGTTTTGGTCCTACATTCAGACATGCCTACATGCAGACTTGTTAGATTATTCAGAAAAATGCTTTATCTTCACTAATCAGTAGTATTCCACGACAGTTGCCGTACCAAACTTAGGAATTACAACTTCCAGTAAGTTTTCATAAGTGTCACACAAGCCTGATTTTTCCAAGAGTGAGTAGTAGTTAAAACTGCAAAAATTTGCCTTTTCAATTTAATTAAACACCCCCCTACCCACCCCAACGTTGGTTTAGAATGAAAACGAGAAAACACATAAGAAACTTTTGCCCAGAATAAATTGCCAGAAAGTGTCATTAGTTGCTTCGTGTTGTTTGTACATTAAAAGTTACAGTGTTTAGTGTGGGCAGAACAAGTAAAAGTTTACCCTCTTGCTCCTACAATGTGGAGGGCTCAAATGTTATCTTGTGCTAAACCAAAACTAACAAATCACTAACCTTTTATTTGTTAATAACTGTGTTTCGAGTCCATATTAAGATTTGGTCAGTTCCATTATACAGATAGAAGAACATTATAGCTTCTGCTCATGTAATATTTGTAGCAACATAGAAATTTTTGCTGTGAGAAATTTGAACCTGTTTATAAAGTGTAAAAGCCTGATATTAATGTTAAGTATCCTACACTTGATGTCTGCCCAAATCAATGTAGTTTCTGATTATCACTCTAAAAACATCTAAAAATAACAGTTTAAAATAGGCCTATGATTTGAAGTATGATTGTACAATTGACATCTTATACTTAGTAATTCAACTTCTTTTAAAGTTGTTTTACTAAAATGTTTGCCCAGAAGAATCTTGAGGGCTTCACAGAGTGTGGTACTGGGACCATATATTTCAGAAAAGGGCATTTTGTAGTTGTAAAGTCTGACTAAAGCAAACATATTTAAGGGCAAAGAGTTACACAAATCTGGTGAAACTGGAGTTGTGAAATGTCAGTCAGTACCTACCAGCTTTGTCCTATTTATTATAGTTCCTTATAGGAACATTAAATAAATATTAGTTTTAACATATATTTTAGGTATTTTTTTGGAAAAGTATAAGTCTTAAAGAGTTCATCAAATTGAATTTCTCTCTTTCTGGAATAAAGTATTCTGAAACAAACTAGTATATTAAGCTGCCATCAAGTGGTCAGTCAGAGTATTGCCATAAACTTATTAAAATGTGCAGATATGAAAAGCTTTATTTTTGCTTGCTGTTTGGTTTAAAATAGTTCTTTCCTTTTTTTTTTTAAATTAAAAAATATGTAAGAAGATTCCCTTTCCTTTATAAATTCCACTTTTAAACTGAAATATTTGCAACTTAATGACTACACGATAAACATTTTACCTAGCACAGACTGTACTGTACCTTCTAGCTATTTGTCACTTAAAGCCATTTTTTGTATTATTTTCATGATACCGTTGTCTTATGCTTACCTCTGGCTGCCTTCACATGTTGTCTGCATCTGCGCACTTCTCCGTCTTCTGCTCCACAGGGCTACAAACCTATACAGAGGTATACTACTTTCAAATCCTGCGTGAGGAAGGAACTCTATAGCAGATAAATGACGGTATGTGTTGGCTGCCTAGTCCGAATGTGCTGGCATGCTTGCAGGAATGGCTGAATGTTAAGCTGTCACTGCTTTGTTTCCCGTTCCAAAATTCAGGAAGAGGTTATCTGACTGTAAGCAGTGTAGTAGCTCAAAGTGTCACATTGTGTTTTTGACTGAAGCAATACAGTTTTATTCTTGAGTTGGCAATGACCGACTCACACTGTCACTGTTTTGTAAGCCAGCTACTTATTTTGTACTATGTTTGAAATAGAGAAAAGTATTCTTTCATAGTTTCTGTTGCTGTTTTCTGTCTGTCCTGTGACCACTTTTCAAATAATTTCTCAGGTACCTATAGCTCATAAGTATTTACCAGTGAAGATTATAGGGCAGATTTTTCTTCCTGAGAGACTGTTAATAACTTGATTCTACTTTGATTTATACAGTTACACTTTTTAAAACAATAATGTGGTTTTGGCTCAATTAATGCTATACCAGCAGTTTTCAAAAATCGGCATTGTGCCCATACATGACCACCATGGCTGTTTCTGCGTATCCACTACATGAATATTCATTCTTACAGTTAGATCGTACTGTAGGTTTCAGGGTAAAAACTGGGGTGTGCATATTCTGTAGCCACATTGTGAAACTGTTTGTCACAGGGTGGACACAACAGAAATGCGTTAGTAGACATTTCTTCTCTTATGTAACAGAACTGTTTGCTCCTTTGCAATTTAAGGTTCTGGTGCCAGCCCTTTTTTATGTCTATATTTCTAGACTTTGCAGTATTTGCTAAGAAGGCTGTTAACAGCTCATGTATGTCCCAGGTATATTACTTTGCAGTGGGGAGGAACAGAGAGGTGTACGCCATGATAAACAAGGCCCCATAGCCTGCGATCTGGTGAGTGGACCCTGTGGAGCAGCCAGCACATCTTGTGTTCCTGAGCCAGGGCGGTTTGACTATCATTCCTCCTCTAATTCTGATGGACAATGTTAAGTTGAGATTTCTGGTCCAATAACCATCTTCAGATGCCTCCATACATAAGTATATTGGCATCTGACCTTCAGAAACCTCCCCTTTCCTATCATATGCCTCTCTGAGCACTTGTGTGCCAGGGAACATGGTGGGCCGCGGGTTTAAATCTTTCTTCCTTGACTGTGAAACAGCATGGCAGGAGAGGAATGTATGTATACTAAGCAGAAGTTTCTTGGATCCTGTTTATTTGAGGTGATGGTTGGCTTCTAGCACAGTTGAAAATAAGTCTGTAAGGATGAGAGGTGGGGTCTGTTTACTCAGACTGGTAGCCCATGAGCTCACCAGTCCCACTAGTTGTTTTTTTTTTTTTTTTGTAGACCCCTGTACAAGATCAGTAAGGTATATATAATTGGAGGGAAAATACCTAAACTATAGACCTGTTCCCATGGAGCAGCTTGTCATGTATCCCAGGTTGTGATCTTTGGGAATCTTCATACCCTTTTTTTTTTTTTTCAGTGAAATGTCACATCTTTTGAACAGGCTGATTCTTTGAAATTCAGCAGTAAAGATAGCCTGGGGCATGTCCAGGCTCACACAGCTTATTTGTCCTCCAAGAAAGAAGACAAACATTCTCTTTGATCTGCATATGCTGTTCTCTTCTAAAATTTAGCATCCATAGGATTATTTCTTTATTATTTTGATTAACTATTAACAGGTTTTTTAAATCATACTTCCTCTTTATAACTCGCATACTAAAGCATTTTGCTAACATGTGAGGAACAGAAAAGGAAATTTGATCTTAACAAAACATCTGGTTTCTCCACCTGATTAATGGGAAGTGTAGGTGACTAATGAAATAGTTAAAACAACATTTTAGTAATACCACTCACCAGCCACATAAGAAGAAACACGTGGCTTTAGGTTAATTTTATGTAATTTTGTCTCTCTGAAACTTTTGGCTCTTCCTTTCTTCCTTTCCCATGACTTTTTAAAAATCATTCTTTTGGGAGTACTTTGTCTTTTTGTCCCCACTAGTTCTAAAACAGCCTACATTGTAATTGCATATCAAGTATAGTTTAAACAGTAAGCTTTTCAAGATAGGGAACAGTTTTTACAGGAAAACTGGCAAAATGTTACACAGTCACGATGCTTTCCTCATAATTTCTGTGAAGGATATGTGACCAACTGGAACAAAATGCAGTGTGACACAAAAGAATCCAGTGTCTAATAATCAAGGCAAATAAGATTAGCTTGGTGACAAAAAGAGAGACTGTGGTAAAAGCATCAAGTTTATATACCTGGACATCCTGATAGAGATCTGAACTCCGGCAATAAATTAATTCATTCATCTGTTGAGATGGGGTAAACTGGGAAAAAAAATACAGTGGGAATTTATAAAAGGGGATTTTTGTTCAGTCTGTATTTTTTCTCAAGGAAAAAATTTGAAGTTAAATTATGATATGTCTCCACTATGCACTGCAAGACAGTACAGAGAAACCAGGTTAGTTCTCAGTGCACTGACCTGGCCACAGGCAGCCTCACTGACATAGGGTAGAGGTTGATGGTTTTTTACCCTGCTTTTCTTCCCACCTGGAGCTCCTGGATGCTGTAAGAAGAATGTTTCTGGTACCTAAGCTTGCTTGTGTATCAGATATTTGTTACCTGCGCACTGAAGAATACAGTGTAAACCTCATATGTATAAAATTCCCT